ATAGCAAAAGAAATAGACACGAATCTATATGCTGATATTTATTCGTGACAAGTTATAAAAGAGAACAACATTCATTCGTTTTATGTTCTTTTATTATGAAATATGTGATATATGATAAAAAATATTTAGCTAGAATTATTCGCAAATTTTATCAATCCTTCGTCGAGAAGACCGGTAAGACTTTTTTTGGCGAACAATTGTTTTTCGGGAATCTCGCAAGCACGAAATTCTGGCGCGTTAGTTCGAAGTACAGGTCCATTGAAGTTTTTTCTTTGAGCCTAAAAGAAAAGAAATAAAGATGAGACGAATTTCAGTTTAAATTCAACTGTTCAACTCACTTGTCGACTAAGCGCAAATACGCAATGAGTCACTTGAGAAATGTTACGCTTTTCATAAAGATCTACCGTTTGAAATAAGTCCAGATCAAGTAAACCATATGCACGAGCCGCATTCTCTATTTCATATGTATAAATTTGACAATTATTATAAGAAAAAAATCTTATGCTTACGGAAAAGTGATACATTTTCGCGTGATCTGAATCCTCCACTCGCTGTGGCGAATTTTGGAATGGCATTCGGTTGAAGTTTGTTCATCAATCTTTTATTAATATTAAAAAACAGAACCAAATCAAATTGACTAATCAGTAAAAAACTAACTTACTTGCACAAGATGATACCATCTTTGAGAGCATCTTCATAAGAACAATTTGGAAATTTCTCACCGATTACCGATTCGATCCATGCTTGTGCTTCCTTGTCAAGCTCTGGATCGCGTTTTGTCGCTATCTAAATAAGTTGTATGTATTCTAGTGTGCCAGAATGATGATAGTTGTAAGAGAGAAAAAAAGAAACCATAAAGAGATAGACAGTTTCTCTCGCTATCATAGTACCAGAAAACAAGAACGACAAATACATTGATGACAAAGCTTCTACTATATGAATGATTCTATACTGTAGCAGCTTATTATCAACTTTTTGCTTTCTTCGATTCTCTGAGATGGAGCACTTTAAAATTCAGAAATAGCTTATGTGTGAGTGTGCATATAATGAATATAACAGATAAAACAAAAGATATGTTTATATATTGTAATTATGAGTGAAAGAATACAAAAAATAGGGAACAACTTCAATCTTCTTTTAAGAAAACCTAATAGATTATATAACTATCATGATTCACCAATGACTTCCTTATAAAAATTAAACGAATAATGTCCAAGAAAAAAACTACCGTAATCGCTCTGTAGCTCAAGAACATTGGTGATTACATGTTAATGCTAATGCGTCTATCTCACCTTCACTAGATTGTTAGCCAGTGTTCCATATGCAGGTCCGTAATTAGCCATCTTCTAAACTTTAGCACAAAAATACCCTAACGTAAACACCAAGGAAATAATATCGATGAATATTCTCAACCATTATTTATATACTGCCAGCACACATGTACTCGTACGAAAATAAAACCATGACAGAGTTATTATGGCTATGTACTGATTTTATTTCCTTATCTAGTATGAAATGGAAGGTACAGAAAAGCAATGCATGAGGGAAATAATCAACAGCTCGTTTTTCCATAAAAACACTGTAGAATAAGTAGGTTTGTATTTCGCAAAACCAACATATGATTTTCTCTCTCGCATATACACATTAGTGACATCAACAAATGTATTATTTAGTGAGACAAGCTTTTTTCTCTTGCCAAAGGTTACTAATCAAGTTGTTTTGTCAAAGAATAGGTATCTAGATAGATAATGACATAAAATATTGCAGATTCAGTGAGCATTTCTAGTTGACTTATTCCATCTTTCTCAATTTTTTTTTGTCACACTACAGACTCTATGGTCTTTCGAACCATTATTACTAAAACTTATCTATTTGTCTGTCTGATTTTACATGATTATTTTATTCCATCTTTTGGGCTCTTAAGGTATTTAAGCTTTTGCATTCCTAACTTCTGAGTTCAACTATATGAATTACTTCTGGATTCGCAGCTTGTTCTTTTTATTTTGGGAACTTTACTGTTTCTTGAATTTCGACTATTTTAGCACTTCTGTAAAATTTCTGAACTTGAACGAACACAAAATCAAAAAATCAGAAAGATTCACAATTATTCACTCTGAAGATAAATAAATCGAGGTTCGATAAGCTATCTTAAAGGTGTGGGTGTAAATATCGCTAGTGGGTGTTAGTAATCTCTTTACTCACATTCTTAAGTGCATTTTATTTTAGAATAGACAATGATCTTAGATTGATAATCAACACACCCCTTCACTCACATCTCTGTTCTTAATTGGTGAAACCTCATTTGTAATAAAATCCATGGATATCAATCGCAGTGATTTTAAAGAAAAAAGGATTTCAGAATCTCACTGCAGTAAGAATAAAATGAAATGAAAGAAAGACTCTACTTCGTTCTTCTTTTTACGTGAGATTGCGACTTTGTTTTTTTCTTCTTCCTATTTCTCAGTGTCAATAAAAAACCTGTGAAATATGACTACTACATGCAAAATCAAACCATGCTTAGACAAGTAAAGAAGTAAAACGAAACAGTAGAGAATGTTTTCATAGAGCTGTTACAACTGCTGTGCTGGTTCGAAAAAAGTTGAAAAAAAAACCTTCGTCAAATAATGTTTTAACATTGATAGAATGGAAAAAAACTCGCAATTCATGAAAGGAATGATTTTAAACAATTCAAAAAGAAGTTTACAAGTTTTTTTTTACGTTGTTGCAGCGGTTATGTACAACATAGGAAGAAATTCAGTGTTACACCGTCATTTTTTTTCGTTCTTTTACTCTCTCGCACATTGATGCGATTTTACTTTACTTCTTCTAGAAAGATTGTCAACAAGAGACGAAGTTACAATCATACAGAAGAGAACTGCAGTAATAAAACATTCGTTGTATTATTTTTATAAACGAAACGGTTACATGGGAAATATAAATGCAGCCGAACGCTTTCTTGACGCTGATCAAGAACCTTTCCGAAGAGTAATGCTGATCCCAGACTACGAAAACAGACCGTCGGTAACACTTGAAAAAGCAACTGAACAGCTTCAGCCATCGATACATAGTATTAATGAAATGGTTTGGGCCGCAAGAAACCATATGCCTTATGCGACAGATAGTCTAACTGTCGATGAGGCCGCAGCCATTTATATTTATACTATCGAGGATAAGAAAACTCATCACACTGTTTCTTTTAAACTGAATAAAAGACTTCGCTCTAGTAAACGAGATCGACTGACACCGTGGCTTCCCTATCTTCATCTCTTTCTTAATGCTGTGAAGAAATTGCCGTCAATGAAAGGTACAATTTGGCGTTGTGCTCGAAGCGACGTTTCTCATAATTACGAAACTGATTGCGTATGGTCTGGCTTCAGCTCATGCACAAAAAACAAGTCGATGGCTAATGACTTCTTAAATAAAACTAGTGTGTATACTTTGTTCAATATTGAGTGTATTAATGGCAAAGGAATCCAAAATTACTCTAGCCAGCCCGGTGAAGATGAAGTTCTATTGATGCCTGGTACATGCTTACAAGTAATAGGCAAAGAAAAGTCGAAGCATGGATTACGTATAGTTTATTTAAAAGAAAAAGGGTCTCAATATCTACATCCGGGTCAACCTTTGGGGCTTTCGTCGTCGATGTGCGAAACCAAGCGAACAGATCAAGGCTTCAAGTCGCCTATAATACAATCAAATGATCAAGCAAAATGTATGTAAACATATAGTGAGATCATGTTTGGATTACATTATGTTTTCCATTGAAAAAAAGATCAGTAACTTGAAACAGAATGTACATTGAAAGTTGTACAAACGAAGACAAGAAGCAATGCAAAAGAATAGAGTTTTAGAAGTCAGACAGTAAGTTGTTTCTTTCCGTTCTTTACCATATTATCTGATCAAGGAAACAGATTGGTGAACGAATACCAAATATTTTAGATTCCACATAATGTTTGCAGTAGTTTAGTACTAGTTAATTCGATTGGAATTCTCGAGTTTTTGAAAATAAGCCGTTGTTGGCACTAAGTGAAAAGCATGATAATATTCGGGAACCCTAATACGGTCACCAGCCTGTGAAAAGTCGTAAATTCAAAAATTAGAATCGAATCAATGGCTCCGACACCACTGAATGAAAAACCTTGCTGCTGTTTTTTTATGGCACTCACATTATGTTTTTCCAAGCAAAATATATCAATTGTAAGTTGTAAGTTGAGATTGTCTGGCTCCCACTCATAGCAAAGAGTGTCAGAAGTCAATGAGCATGTTTTTCGTAGCAACTGTGAGAAATAGATTTCGGACACATTCCACAAAGATCTTTAGAAATAGAAAAAAAAGCTGAACAGGATTAACGACAAGACTGGAACGGTTCGAGAAAGTTCTAGAACATTTCAAAGTCTTTGTTGAAATATGAATAGCTAGAAAATGTTTGTGAATGTTCTAAGCGGTGCTGTGTCTGATTTTTCTGTAAATCGAGATTTATATTCAAGATGTTAGAAAAGACAGAATATGAAAGTGAAAAACAACGAACGATAGTAGCAGGGAGAATAAAAGTCAAGTGTGCCAGTAAAAAATCTTGTATTTGGAGAACAATGAATATTGATTCTAAATATTGAAAGGTGATAATGAGTCGAAACTAAACGGAGATTAGAGGAGTTTTTGTTCACAATTGAAGAGAAAAAACTGACTTATTTATCTACAATTATCAACTCATTTCAGTTTATTGTTCTCGAGTGGAAAACATATTTTGACTTTTATGTTGAATATTGCCTTTCGGTAATGTTTTAGATACACATAATTCAACAGCGATTCAGTCGGCATGTCAATACCGAACAGGTTAGTCAGAAAGATCTTTCATCGACAAAAATATTCTCTATTATGCTCGCATCAAAAAGAATTTCCACATTTAAGTGAGTCAATTGGCTATGAAAAATAACAGATATTCTCTTTTAGAAAAATCTTGGCTCGATCGTCAATATCATCAGCATAGTGAAAATTCGATAATGACTCCTAAAGATCTTGAAATCATGCAACAAGATACTCCGTCTGACGTCGACAACTTTGTATTAAACCGTGTCACAGGATCGATGATTGGTATGGCGTTGGGTGATGCGCTCGGAGCTCACGTTGAATTTCGACCGCGAGAATACATGGTAGAACGTCCAGTTCGAGATCTTGAAGGTGGAGGGACCTGGGGTCTCGCAAAAGGACAAGTAAAGCCTCACCTCTTTGTATAAGATTCTTCACTCTTTGTCGAGTAACTCTCAGTGGATGCTTAAAGTAAGCCCCTCCCCATAATAGAAGCCCCTCCCATATTAGAAGCCCCCCCTTATTAGAAGCCTCCCTTGGAGGGGACTCTCCAGCAAAATTTTCAGTTTTGCCCAGCAAAACCCGGCCAAAGTTTGCAGGATCTAATAGAAGCCCCCCGGGGGCTTCTAATATGGGGAGGGGTTTAGGTTTCAAAACCTTTGTAAAATTTGTTCGATTCGATATCATCAGAAAACGCGTTATTCATTGTATTTAAAGAATTTTCGTTTACAAGTTTTCCAAACATTTGGATTTCTATATCGTGCTCTTTATAAAAGACTATGCTATTAATTCATGGAGACTTAATTAGAAAAATGGACAATAATCTTGTTTGACCGTTCATTCATTTTGATAACGAATTTCGTTGAAGTTTCACGAGAAAACTTCAGAAGCGTTTAGCAATTGAGCGCAGTTAAAAATACTGGCAAAAAGTATTCACTCCATCTTTCTAGTGTTCCTTCGGGAAAAATGTTCTTTAAACAGATATAAAACATTGATCATGTTACTATTTTTCAGAAATCTATTCTCTTTAGTTCACAGACGACACCTCCATGGCTCTTTGTCTAGCAAGTTCATTGGTATCTCGCCATGACTTTGTTCCCTACGATCAGCTAGTTCGATATAAGTGGTGGTACAGAAATGGTTACATGTCGTCGACTGGGCAATGCTTCGATATTGGTACAGCCACCAGTCAGTCACTCCAGGAATTCGAACGTCGTCAACAGCAACTTGCTAACACATATAATATTCCTTTTGAGCAACTAGATTTTCTCTCAGACCCTCACCTTCTTGCAAAATTTGACGTGTACTGTAGTGAAGATGGTGCAGCAGGTAACGGGGCACTCATGCGACTGGCGCCAGTGCCACTTTTCTTCTATAAACATCCTGTTTATGCCGTCGAATTTTCCGGTATTAGTGGCATCATTACTCATGGTGACATAAAAGCCTATGATGCTTGCCGCTATTATGGCGCCTTAATTGTGGCTGCCCTACGAGGTGAAACAAAAGATCAATTGTTAGATAAGAATTTTTATTTTAACCATGAAACCTGGTTCAACAACAAAAACCTCGTTCCAGAAGTTATGAACATTGCTCTAGGCTCGTATAAGAGATATGGCGGATATAATGACGGTATCCGAGGCAAAGGATACATTGTTAATGCTCTGGAAGCTGCTTTATGGGCTTTTTGGTGCGACGAAAATTCGTTTAAAACAGGTGCTCTCAATGCAGTTAATCTTGGAGATGACACTGACACCACTGCTGCTATTTATGGCCAACTGGCTGGTGCTTGCTATGGCTATCAAAACCTCCCCAAGAAATGGGTCAAACAGATCTATGCTCACAATTTTATAACGTGTTTAAGCAAGTGGATTGTTTATGAAGGACAGTTGTGGCATCCAAAGTCTCATGTTCCGAATACTTCAAAGTTGAATTCTAAGTCTAATTCTAATGTCCAAGTGGCCGCTCAATCTGCAACGACATGGGGTCCGACACCAAACACGGAGCGAGAATATATGCAAATGTCTACTTCTCCACTCCGCCAATTACCTTCTAATGCACCACGGCCACCGTCAAACATGGAGCATCATCCCTCAGTAGCGTATGGAGCTCATGTAATAGCTCCGATAACTCAGTCAAATACGAGTTCGAGATCGGCACCAACAGCGGTACGGTCAGGCCCTTATGATCCAATACCATTTGGGTATAACTATATTGGAGCGAGTCGGGAGCCAAGAATTTATTCTGACAATGGATTTCATGATCCAAAATATTGACCGCAGAACTACTCTCAGTGACTTTAAGCCGATTTAACTCAGCATTCTAACTCTACACGATAAAGTAACTGAAACTTGACATTTATTTGATCAATTTTTTTTTATGTTTCCTTTTTGACAATTTAATGCATTCTTCTCTATCCGAAACAAGCACAATCTAATGAAACACACAATTTTTCTATTTTTTGAACACTTGATAAAATAAGGCGGCATCGAATTTCCATTCAAATCATCGTATTTTAGCTATCGATGCTGATTTTTAATCCAATTTTATGATTTTCTAGATATTATCTGTCACGCACCCTCAGGTAACTACAATGATGACTAAGATCAATACTTGAAACATTAACTAATTTTCCTCTACTTCAGTTACTATGCTGGACCATTAGACATATTTTTATTCATTTCCGAAAGCATTTTCAATACAATATTTTTACAACTGAATGGGCTTTGATAAATGTGCTTGAACGCATATGATTTTGATTTTCTTCTCTTGTATATGTCTGAACGTCTTTTGAAAGTCTTGACGCATTTTAAATCCTAAAAACGCATGTGGCATTTATATAGAACGTAGTTTATTGCACAAAATAAAGAAAATGTCAGAACTACTGGAAAAAAACAATACCATGGCGCTCAATGGAGAATTGAATTAGGCAACATGTTCGATCGACCATGTGTCAAATAGGCTGTTCTTGAATGCGCGTCATTAAGAACGAATTGACAAACAACGCAAGCTTTGTATTTAAAATTAACACGAATTAAAATACGTAGAAGCCTTCGGAATTTTCATGGCATGCTATGAAAAAGTCAAAATATTAATTTTTCTCAGTTTATTTCTGCATTATCATATAAAATTCTCATGTTGAATATTGTGCATCTAAATGTTTGATGACGATGACGTACTTCAATATTAACGCAAGTATACAAACCAATTCACACGGAATTCAAATGTGAAACACAATGAAGCTACTTGAATTTTACATGAAGAATCATTTAATACTAATCAGGATCCGTGACAAGTTTGAAGAGTAATATGTCAAAATATCTACCGTAACTAGTAGTACGCGATCTAGATTTTGAAAATTCAAATCCGTTCATAGTCTATAAATCTATCCACAAGCCAAAAGTTTGAAAGTCGAAAATTCACAACAACTTGCTAATTTATTTGCCATGATCCGTACGGTTGGCTAGAAGGATGAGCAACTTTTCTTATTATAGATTTCGTGCCGTTCTCGTGGTTTTAGAAAGTTTTGTGTCAAGATAATTAGTCACGATAGGTATGGGAGATGTTTCAGCCGAGATCTGACTTGTATTAAGAATATATATGGGACTAGTCATGTCGTCCGTCTTCGCTTACTTGAACAATCGGTCTAACTGCTTGGCTTTTTGTCTTTTGTCAGATTTGATTATTCAACACGGTTGTTGGTCTTAAACAGATACTATCACCTATGTGTTATATATTTGATTAGTTCTACTCATTTTTTCGTCTCTTATTCTTTATTCTGAAGATCTTTTCGTAATTTTTCGATTGAATTCGGCAGTCATTATTATGTATTTGGGTTACTTGGTGTCCAAAGTCAGTTTAATGATATGTTAAAGACAACAGAATTCAAACTGGTATCGACTTTAATCAAACATTAACTAGTCTACTATTAAATGAATAGATAGTAACTGCACTGATCAAAACATCATCAATAGCAATCATTTCAATGCAGATTGATTCGATATTCACTGACTTCTTTTTTTTGCCACGTTGATCAAACTTTTCCAAGTTTATATTTGTTATTTTTCTCAACTTTTAGTGAATTCTGACTATCATGTAATATTTTGAGTATATCAGGAATGCCAGAAAAAAAGAGCTTTTTGTTGAAACTCTTAAATGTTTCTAATTCCATATGTTTCGATATAAAGTGTGATATACTAAATAAATTTCAATGAGTTATCGTTTTTCGATAAATTTCTTTCACAAAAGACATAGTCTTCTAATACATATGAATTCAATTGTCTTTTGACCGATTAAGCTAGGAATATTCGTTCGAACACTTTGGCTCAATGAAAAAACGATTCAACTGATTCTGACTACAAAAAAACTGATACTCTACTGTAGTACTGCCATCTTTTGTAAAGTTGTAGCGAATTGATCGACTAAAGTTTCGAATAAATCTGCTATCAACAGGCAAATCAAACATATATATACATGCTCTTTTTCATCAATATGTTGAATTTATTATCTCACGAAAAATAATTAAAAAACTATTTTTAAAACATCTAGATTAGACATACAGTAAAGTGCATGTTGATCATCCTTGACACCAACAAATGAATTGATCTCTAAACCGTTGACACCGACCAATTTTGTAGCCATTCAAATGGCACCTTATTGTGCATATCGCTTTATCCCTGCTATTTAATGGATTACAACTGCCACTACGAAAAGCACCCGATACGGTTTTGCTTATAGGCATATCTGAAAAATTAACAATAATTAAATCTTATGTGAATGGCTGATAGCTTTTTATTTACTGTCATTTGAATCTCTATCGAATTGATTTGCAGCTTGAGCCACAAGCACCAAAATAAAGAAGAATAAAATTGAAACCAGTTGTTTCGAGATCATAATGCTTATGTAAAAAGGATGACTCTATTATACTAAGACTGTTAAATGATATACTCACTTACATGTGTAGAATAACTTGCTTTTAATAATCGCGATGAATGATACTCGAATTCTGATGGAAAAAAAGAAAGGACTGCTTATATACGATATCGTTGTGTTATCAAACCTGCGTGATTAAGTTTCATATATGTCAAACTCGAAGCTTGATTTCCATTCAAGTTTCAGATTTCAACTTTGAAAGTTCAAGTTTCGATTTTCAATGTTGAAATAAACACAGCCAGTCTCTCGATGTGGATGTCGCGAAAATAAAAATTACTGAAATCTGAAACTTGAAAGCTGCAAGTCAAAACTTGAAAATTGAAATTTCAATAGTAGTCATTTAATCGAATTCGATTTTCATGTTCGACACCTCAAGGCATGACGAGGTTAAAGGAGATCCTGGGCTAGTTCAGACAGGATTACAGGACACTTCTTGTTAATATAAATAGTCATGATGTGTATGGGAGACGTTTCAGACGAGATCTGATGGATATTGCAGACTAGTGTTGAGTATATGTTCGGTGAATGAATAGAACAATGCCAACCGTCATATGTAACAATAGAACAATAATTCTTTTCATTTTCTTCAATTCTTCTATTATATAAATAAGACAAGAAACGAAATTCACATATTAAACTTGTGCATTGAAACAAAGAAATATACGTGTAAGATGCAGTTTGATGACTTTTTCTCATTTTCTCATTGCATGAACAACTTAATTTCGTTCATTTTAAATCTATCTTGTTGACAGGTCTGCATATTATCAATGTTCACTTTCATCCAATGGGAAAAAAAAAGACAACACCATCATTTTTGACATCAAAAACAAGTAATACGATCAACAATCACCAACACAAACCCGATGTTCATTGAACTTCCACTCTTCTCTTATCAAGTCAAATTTCTTTGTTTCCATTTATTTGACGCTAAGTTTCAATAACAAACATACTTCTGTTCAAAGAAAATAAAATTCTCATGGACAAGTGCATGATTAAATTTTATCAAACGTCTGAATTGAGCCCACATGCAAAGCATCGATTGATAATACTTGAAACATTATCGTCATCATTTCATACGTCAAGCTACAAACAAAGTTCTGAATGAACTACAAGAGATGAAAGAAAAAATTGCCGCGAAGAAAGCAAAACGTTTTATTTTCTGTTTTCTTGTCTCTACTATTGGATACATTTTCTCTCACATGCTTCTTTCTTATTGTGTCATAATGATACCGATCAAATATTTTCTCGTATTTCGTATCATAATTCAATGCGATGATCATATTGTAAGTCACAAACTCATATAGATATGTCTGAACTATATCATAAAAATTTGAAGAACTTACTCATTATTGATCTATTACTACTACTCTAAACATATGCACCAGTGTAATAGAAAAAAAGCAAGGCAGTTTTTTACTGTTTATCTTTATTGTTTGATGAAATCTTTTAATATTATCTTCAATTTCTTCATATTGAATAATAATAATACAAAATAAAGGTGGTAGATTGAATAACTGATTAATATTTGATACTAGCGCTTTTCACCATAGCTTTGCTCATTTGATTAGATGTTTCATGGCTATTTAGTAGTTTTCAATTTATGCTCTCATTTTACTTTCAACATCTTTCTTTGATATTGCTCATGAGTATAATTACTGGGTACTCTTAAAAGTAACTATTATTATTGTGTTTATCAACATTATCAAGAAACTATCCTGAAAGCAACATCATAAGCCAAGATCAAATGACAATAAAACATCTAATTGAATTTGCAAAACTTTAGACGAAATCTCTTAACTTTGAAAAGCAGCTAGTTATTCTATATGCTATATCTAATACAAAATACTATTTGTGAAGCTGTGTCTGCCATGTCATATATGAAGAATGAAATCGAACTTCTTTAGGTTTACATAGCATACTTTTGTACCCAATACCTTATTTTCTGTCATTAGCATAATCTCCGCTCTCTCACATTTCTATCTACTTCCACTTTTCTTTGTTGCATCTATTCTGTTGTTCAACTATTTTTATCGA